CCCTACCCCTGTTCTAAAGAAATCCAGATGTACCTGAGAGAAAATTGAAATCTGATTTTTTACAATTTGTCAATTGTGGAATGCTTCTCAATAGCTGTGTGGCTGTTTCCCTGTCTCCTTATCTGAAATGGATAGACTAGATAGATGGAGAATACTGGAAAGAAATGCACTCTACCAACAAAAAAAATATTATTGTTCAGTTTTCTACTCTCACTGATCCTCAAACCTGGTCTTTTTAAAATCTCTTTGTTTCATCATAAAAATAGAAAGAAAACCCAGGAACTGGAAAAATAAGTAAGGAAACAGCACAGGGTAAAGAAAAGAGTAAAAATGAACAAGGTGTTAGAAATAGTCACAAAAGCCTGGCCGGTGTGGCTCAGTGGTTGAGCATCGTCTTATGCACCAGGATGTCGCCAGTTCAATTCCCAGTCAGAGCACATGCCCAGGTTGTGAGCCAAATCCCCAGTGGGGGCATGCAGGAGGCAGCCAATCAATGTTCTCTCTCATTGATGTTTCTATCTCTCTCTCCCTCTCCTATCTAAAATCAATAAAGAAAAAAAAAAAAAAGTCACAAAACAACGATGTTGTACAGGGAATGTCACTGGAACTATGGACGTAGCCTAGGCAAGTTTAAAAAAGTTTTTATCTAGGAAATTTTTAAAATTTTCCTCTCCAAAATGAGGAAAATTTAGTGCAATTAACTTTATTCAATTACTTACATAAACAACAATTATATTACAGGCTTGTTTTACTGATCAGTATCTACCAATTGGGGAAGGACTAAGGCCACCTTGATGTCTATGTAACTATTAAAAAGACAGAATTACTGATGATTCAGTGTTAAGCAATAAGAAAATAGGATTCCATTAGTAAAGTGAAATCTACACCAATGTATTAGGAGTATACTTATTACCACTGTGGAACTTCTAAAGACAAATATATTCAGCTGTGGTTGCCTTCACTGGCTCTAGAGTCAGACAGATTTGATTGGAAATGTTGGGTAAGACAAGGGTCTCATGATCTGGGCTATTCTTACTAAATGCTACTCCTGCTAAATGTTAAAATTTGGCACAGTATTTTTTAGACCAGCTATCAACAGGATGAACTTGACAGGAATCCAACCTGATAAGTGTAGCTGACTGCAACTCATAAAAATTTAATTTTAGTTTCTGTTTAACTTATGCCCATAGGTTTCTGGGGTGAGGCATACTCTCCTTTGCTATAAAGTATCATTTCCATGAAAACTGAAACACAGTTCTAAGATCTCTTCCATCTTAAAGATAATAAGACGCCAACCTCATGCTGGTGACTCATGGTGAGCATTTGATATGAAAGCGAAGGGGTATCATATTCTGTCAAGCTGACATGACTGGTTGTATAGCTGGGAGGGACTCTGGGGCATTCATCAAATGACACATAAAAGAAGACCCACTGCTACTTCAGTTCTCATGGGCTGATAATGTAGAAATAAAATAGAATAAGCATGGCTGAGAGAGTCCCTTTTAAAGAAAGTCCGGAAACTATTAGGGAAGTAGGGCCAGCGCACATCTTGTGCCTCAGTTCTCAGAACTGCTATTAAGTTGCTAAATCTATTGCTAAATGCAGCTCAAGGCTGAATCATAAACATCCTGGAACAAAAACTGCTGTATGGACACCCAGGACTTTACCTCCTCCTTGTGATTTTCATCTCCCTTGTTAGCATATTGAAACTAACCAATTCCTATTAACCTAGTCAGCAATCCTTCACTTCCATGAGAATTACATTTTGTTTTCTCCAAAGCACAGTTTGAGTTGCTACCTGAATCTGCCTTTCCTGATTGCAATTCTTTGCTAAAATAAATGCCTTATGATCTTTATAAAAGCCTGAACCTTTCCTCTGGTTAACAAGGCTCCTCCCGGGTGATTAGAATCACTGCAGTTTTCTACCTTAAAGACATTGCTAGCATGTTATCAATTGAGGAAATGCTACGATGTTATCTCTTCTGTGGTTTGACCTATTTAAAGCATTATCATGAAGAGAGTTGCCTGAGTCATTGATAAATGATTATCAACCACACTTTAAGTAACTTTTCAAAATAGAGGATAAATCTTCAAAACTACAAAATATAGAAAAGACCAAAGAAAACCACTGTTAAAGCATAAACTAAAAGTTCTGACAAAACCCAAGCTCAAATCCAGTTTCCACAGCATCCATGTATATGGCCTTTATTGAGTCACATGCCTTTGAGCATCATTTTCCTCAAACATAAAAGTAAGAATGATAGAACATAGATGATTGTCTTATTTTTGTAATAAAGCTAAATAAGATAATTTAGGTAAAGCAGCTGACAGATGCCTGGAACAGAAGCAAGCTCTTGTGAGTGAATCCCTTCTTTTCCCCTTTGAACATTACATTGAAAAACCACTAAGGTTTCTCATCCTTGATGCCACATTTTGACTTGAATGGAATTAAGATAAGAGTTAAATTCAATCTATACAAACAACTCAATAACCAGTAGGAAAATGAAAAAAAAAAAATCAGTCAATAATTTATATTTTGTTGGATTTATTGTTTTCATAAAGTAAAATTGACTTTTTGTTTTGCTTAAGTCTTTATTTGTTCTGTTACTGTGTGTTTAGAAGCATAAGGTTCTCCAGTGTGGTAACCTGAAAGTTATAATAAATTGATTTGCATCCATGTTAAAGTAAGCCTCTACTGAAATTGTATACCCTTCAAAGGCCCATATTCTCTGGGGAAAAAAATTCTGCTTTCATTGTACACAACAGTTAAAATAATATTCTTTGAATTTAATTGGCATTTGATTAAATGATTGACTATGCATTTAGAGTAGCCAAGAAATGAATCATATTATTGTACTAGTAAAACACCCCCTCATTAATGTTACTTGAGTTTTAACAAATGAGTTGATTAGAGGAAAAGAGGAACACAGTTCATTAAATGCCAGGCCCATGGTTTCCCTATAGACTTCAAGTACTCTTATCACAGAACCTTGAAAAAAAATCAATAACTGCATTTCTTAGCAAGAATATACTTTCTGGTCCTGGTCGGTTTGGTTCATCGGTTAGAGCGTTGGCCCTCAGACCAATGAGTCTCGGGTTCGATTCTGGTCAACACATGTACCTTGGCTGCAGTTCTTCCCCGGCCCTGGCTGGGTTGTACAGGAGGCAACCAGCCAATGTGGCTCTATCACATCGATGTTTCTCTCTGTCTCTCTCTCTCGCTCTCCCTCCCTCCCACTCTATCTGATGATAAATAGAAAAATATCGTTGGGTGAAGAATAAAAAAAATGTATATATATAATTTCCAGTTAATGAATCATGCACTGATATCATTGTTTTTTTTATTTATTTACTTGTTTTCCTATTCAAAGAGTTTATATTCATTTTTTTCTGAAAATTATGAAAGATAATCAAAGTGTCCTGGGTTTATATGTTGAAGAAGCAGACATAAATTATACGCAATCATGGCTGAAGTTTGTCTTAACTGGTTTAATTTCTTGTTTTCACTGCAATAAAGTAAGGACCTGTGCTGAGACTAACCAAGAGATATTGCACTAGAGTAGAGGTTTGGACATGAGCCAGGATGTGGTCATGGTAGAATCCAGCTAGGTATAGGGGTCTTCAGAGCCAGCGGAGTTGGAAAGAGAAGGCCATCATGCATGCTAGATGGAGTAACAAGCCTTCAAGGAGGGTTGGAGGTGGGCATTCAGATTAGAACCCTACGTCTGAGACCCAAAGTTGTCATTTAATGGTTGCCAGAGACTCATAAAGGAGTGCTCAGAATTAACAACAGTGGAAGGAGCAGAGAGGAGAAGGGAGGAGTAGTCCCACAGAATTTTCAAAACAACCCAACCAAAAACAATTGATTGTGCCTGCTATTTTCACTGGTAAATCTGTAAAAATTTGGAGGCTTACATGATCTCACTTAATTGTGTAATCTAGTGAACAAAATAAACTGACAAACAAAGAGCCAGAGACATGGAAGTAGGGAACAGACTGACAAACTTCAGAGGGAAAAGTGGGAGAGAGATGGGAGAAATAAACCGAAGAATTATATTCGTATATACATAACCATTATAGTGCCCTGAAGGCAGGGGTGGAGGGTGGGGGAAAAAATGAGGGACATCTGTAATATTTTCAATAAAGATAATTTTTTAAAACAGGGGTGGGGGCTCAGAACAATGGTTGAACAAAGGGGGTGAGGAGTTTTTCCCTTCTCCACGGAGAACTAGGAGGCCTCAGTGCAAGGAGAGGCCCAGCCTGGGAGGCTGCAGCTGGGTGGTTGCCCCTGGCAGCAGACAAGCTGCAGCTGTGGGCAGCAGAGGTCAGTCCACCAGCTTTACAAGTAGAGGAGACCTTGGCAGAGTCAAAAAGAACTTTTTTTATCAGCTCACATGAATTTCCCTCAGATTCCCAGTTTGGTGGCCAACTTCTGAGGGAGGCTGGAAGACCCATGATATTATAATAACAGTGATCCTCTTTGAACTCAGAATGGTATAACCTTAATTAATGCTTGCTTTTCTATACTCAGAGCAAAGGCATCACAGTGGGAATTGCAGCGTCTGTGGAGTCAACATAGTTGGGGTTCCACACCATCCCACTTACTATATGCCAGCCACCACTCCAGTGCTTAGTGATTACTCATTTAATTCCCACAACGAGCCCGTTACTCTCCCAATCTTACACACGAGGAAACAGAAGCACTGAGAGGTTAAGTAACTTGCCCAGGTGACACAGCTTGAAAGTGGTCACTCTGGGACTTAAAGCAGAGAGACTGGCTCCAGGGTCTGTCCTCTTACCAGCAAGTGACATTCATCATGCTTGGCACAGAGAAGGTGCCCGTTAAATGTCTGCTAATTCAAATCATTTTACTAAGGGATTAAAAATGCACTGAGTTTATAATTTTGAATTTAACAGACTGGCTACAGTTAAAAGCAAACAGAAAACTGCTTACACGTATACCAAAATGAAATAAAATCTGGACCGACTGGTTCACTTACCTTGGTGTGGAGGATGATGGGCAGGGGCAGTAAAATCAATGGAGTGAAAACTATGAGGAGCAACCGGCGATAAACAAAAATATAACTGAGGACTTTCATGGTGCTGAGCGGGTGCCTTTGATAGTGTTCTCAAAATGAGGTTGAAGTTAAATAACCAGCCTGGATTAATATTTCTCCAGCTCATCATCCTCACTTTCTGCCCTAGACTGACCAACATGAGTTAAAATTAAATCTCAATCTTTATTGTTTTACTGTCACAATTAACATGAAATGATAAGCCCAGGAAATCAAAGACCATTTGCTAGTATGGCTTTTGAAAAGTAAAACTATTTTTTTCCCTATCTTCTGTGTTTACATTAACTGGAATATAGACTAGCCAAGTCTAGGAAAAGGCCAAATAGTAGGGTTGTTTGATTTTGCCCACATTGAGGCTCCCCCACCCCTTTCTCTCTCTCTTTTTTTTATCCTCACCCGAGGACATTTTTGCATTTACCTTCAGATAGAGCAGGAGGAAGAGAGGTGGTAAGAGAGAGAGAGAGAAACATCAATGTGATAGAAACACATTGAGTGGTTGCCACCCACACAACCCCAACCGGGGCCAGGGACAAACTGCAACCAAGGTACATGCCCTTAGAAGAACGAACCCGGGACGCTCTGGTCCGCAGGCCTATGCTCTAACTGCTGAGCCAAATCAGCCAGGGCTCCTCCACCCCTTTCAATATCCCTGACTTCTGGGCTCCCTAACGGGAGCACCTACCACACTTAGGTAGTGTCCTAAGCAAGTCTTGACTGGGTGCCTCCTGTACTCTTTTTAAGGAAGCACATTTTTAATGTGTGAATTAAACCAGCAATTCCAATAGGAGGAATTTCAGTGAAAAACATATATAGTGAAAAGGAAAGCTTTGGTACAGGGTTTTTCTGGACTTCTCAGATAATGTACTGAGACAACCTTCTACACAGCTCACGTGAACTTTGATCCACAGAACTCCTGACCTCTCTCATTCTGGAATCCTTGGCTCTCACTCAAAAGATAATTAGCGCTTCTTCCGAAACTGAGTAACACTTTTCTCCTGATACCACAGTCAATTGCACAATTGTTTCTTCACTGTTTGAAAGCAAAGTATTGTGTATATCCTGGACACTGTTGCCTTTTTTGATAAGAAACCAGAAGTTATCATAAAACCCGATCTAATTACCCCACTCAAGACTTTTTCAGGATTAAGCTGATATTATTGTGTTGATACTGACTAAATAATCACCAGGGAATCTGCACAGAGAGAGGTCATGAGGGTCATCCAAGGGGGTGTGTGTGTGTGTGTGTGTGTGTGTGTGTGAAGATATGGAAGATGTTTTTTGAAACTCCTCAGGGCTAGGGACTCTGGTTTTTTTCTCATTGTGTTATAAATAAATCATCCAATAAATCCCAAATAAGCAACAACTATGCACCCAGCCCTAGGTATAAACAAAACACATTTCCTTCTGTAATTTATAGCCCATTTCTTTTGGCAGGAATGACTTCACTTTGATCTAATCTGTGTTTAGCACTTAGACCCTACTTCTAATTCTACACTAATGTAACTTTGCTTTCTTTTTCCATCAAGGAAATGATTCTTTCACCAACACTCACTGTATTTTTTGCTTGTTTGTTTTTGTTAATCCTCACCCAAAGATATACTCATTGATTTTAGAAAGGAGGAGAGAGAGAGAGAGAGAGAGAGAGAGAGAGAGAAGCATCGATGTGAGAGAGAACACTGATTGGTTGTCTTCCATACATGCCCCGACTGGGGAGGGAACCCACCACCCCTGTGCTCTGACTGGTAATCAGACACAACCCTATGGTGTATGAATGACATTCCAACCATCTGAGCCACATCGGCCAGGGCCAACACTCACTGTAGTTTTAATGTAAATGAAAAAGCATTTTTTTCTCTACAAGTCTAAATTTCTAAAGATATATTACATATAATGATTCAGGAAACTATGAATTATAAACAGAAAACATCTCCAAAGCAGAAAGAGAGGGTAATTATAAATAATAATAGTAATGAATAGTGAGCAACAATAAAAAGGCAGCAATAATAAATAGTATTTAAAATCACATTAAAGAAACTGAAATACTTAAAGCAGTTTCAATACTTCTTTTTTTCTATACAACAGTTCACTGCTTTTTAAAAAAAATATTGTTTGAAGAAAACATTTCTATTCTCAGAGTTCCCTTAGTCATTTGGTGAGAACATGTAAGCCTCATTTTCTCATCTGAGAGGATTTTACTTTGTGACATGACACCAAACATAAAAAGACATTTATTTGTGTGACATTTAATGAAAATGAGGAACTTAAACTGCAGGGAATAATAGTATTCAAACCAGAGAGAGGCTAAAGGAAAAGCACTTGCCCTAGTTTACCTATTCTGATGCCCACTTCTCACCAGATGGCAGCTTGCAGTACCCTCACATTATGGCCTGTGGTTCTAGCCAGCTCAATTCTCTGTGGGTGCCTTTTATTACAGAATTGTTCCAACTTTTCTTTCTATCCCACCAATCTCCTGTTCCTCAGCAGTTTTCTCGCCACTGTCACAGAGACAAAAGATCTGAAAATAATTCACACTGAACATGAATGACTAACATGAGCTGCATACCTCTGCAAGAGTCACCAGGGAATGAAACTCTTATAGGAGACATTGGGTCTCTTGAAAACATACCTTAGGAGATCTTTAAAATCACATCACATTATTAACCAGTTCCACAATTAAATTTCACCCTTTCTTTGTACAGAAAAACATAAATATCTCTCAATATACCACAATTGTGCAGTTTTATTTATCCAACCCAAATAAATCACACCATTTGTAATCATAGATGAAACCTCTTAAAACCTCTTCCTTACAAATATAAATATATTATAACACTGTCCATTCACTTACAGATATCTACTATGTGCCAGGGACTTTATATTTACCACCTCAATTAATCTTCAAAACCCAATACAAAGTGTATATGTATATGTTATTATTTCTATTATACAGATTTGAAAACTAAAATTTAAAATGGCCAAAGTAGCCCAGCCGGTGTGGCTCAGGGGTTGAGCGTCGACTCATGCACTAAGAGATCACCAGCTCGATTCCCAGTCAGGGCACATGCCCAGGTTGTGGGCCCAATCCCCCATGGGGCGCATGCAGGAGGCAGCCAATTGATTATTCTCTCTCATATCAATGTTTCTCTTTCTCCCGCTCCCTTCTTCTCTCTCTAAAAATAAATAAAAATATACTTTAAAATAATAAAATGTCCAAGTAAAATGTCCAAGGTATAAGTGGTATAACAATAACTCAAATCTAGTTCTTTCTGGATCCTAAGGGGTGTGTCTACCATAATGACTATTCATTTGACGCTAAACACTAAATCATCACTTTTAGAGTTTGTGATACACAGACACTGGATTTGGTTACCTTAGGGGTTGTAGCTCTAGAGCTTGCTTTTTTAATGTCCATTGAACCATAAAATTAGACATAGTTTATGTGAAACTCAAGTTCAAGCACAAAGAGAGTCTTTTTTTTTTTTTAAATCTTTATTGTTGAATGTATTACAGATGTTCCTCATTTTCTCCCCATTGATGCCCTCCTCCCCATTCCTGACCCCTCCCGCCTTTTTCCACACTATTGTCTGTGTCCATTGGTAATGCATATAAGTTCCTTGGTTTATTTCTTCCCACCCCTCAACCCCCTTCTCTTTAAGGTTTGTCAGTCTAGCAACCAATTTGTTCTTCTTAATCCCTTCACCATTTTCACCCATTCCCCCAACCCCCTTCCCATCTGGCAACCAACAAAATGTTCTCTGTATCTATGAGAATGTTTCTGTTCGGCCTGTTCATTTCGTTTGTAGATCTATTGTCGATAAATATGTATTCATTGCCATTTTGTTTGTTCGTATATTTTATCTTTTTCTTCAAAAAGACCCTTCAAAATTTCATATAATAACAGTTTGGTGGTAATGAACTCCTTTAACTTTCTCTTGTCTGGGAAAGTCTTTATATGGCCATCGATTCTAAATGATAGCTTTGCAGGAAGAGTAATCTTGGTTGTAGGTTCTTGCTTTTCATCACTCTGAATATTTCTTGCCACTCCCTTCTGGCCTGCAAAGTTTCTTTTGAGAAATCAGCTGACAGCCTTATGGGAACTCCCTTGTGGGTAACTAGCTGCCTTTCTCTTGCTGCTTTTAATATTCTCTCTTTGTCTTGAACCTTTTGCATTTTGATGATGATGTGTCTTGGTGTGGGCCTCTTGGGATTCATCTTATTTGGGACTCTCTGTGCTTCCTGGACTTGTATGTTTGTTTTCTTCGCCAAGTTAGGGAAGTTTTCTGCCATTACTGTTTCAAATAGGTTTTTGATTTCTTGTTCTCTCTCTTCTCCTTCTGGCACCCCCAAGATGCGAATGTTGGCATGCTTGATGATGTCCCAGAGGCTCCTTACACTATCCTCATTTTTTTGCATTCTTTTTTCTTTTTGCTGTTCTGATTGGTGTGTTTTTTGCTTCCTTATATTCTAAATCAATGATTTGCTTCTTGGCTTTACCTACTCTACTATTGAATCTGTGTAAATTATTTTTTATTTCAGTTAGTGCCTCCTTCATTTCTGACTGTGCATCCATCATTTCTGACTGGTCCTTTTTTATGCTCTTGAGGCCCTCACTAAGTTCACTGAGGTTCTCACTAAGTTTATTGAGCATCCTTATAAGCAGTAATTTGAACCCAGCATCTGTTAGGTTGCTTATCTCCATTTCGCTTAGTTCTTTTCCTGGGGTTTTGTTCTGTTCTTTCATTTGGGACCTGTTTCTTTGTCTCCTCATTTTGGCTGCCTCCCTGTGTTTGTTTCTGTGTATTACTTAACGGGCGGTATGGGGCTCGCTGAGACCAGATGCTGCTTGTTTGAAAGGATTTAGGGAAACCTGAAGCAGGATCCAAGACAGGCCAGTCCTGTGGTGAAGCAACTGACAACAGCTTGGGTGGGCCTGAAAGTTGGGTGGGGAAGGGCCTCAGGGAATCTCCAGGGCAGGGTTACCAGTGTGAGCCAGGTTGCTGGAGTCCCAGATATGAGGGCTGTCTGCCACCCCAGGGC